GTGTGTGTGTGTGTGTGTGTGTGTGTGTGTGTGTGTGTGTGTGTGTGTGTGTGGTAGAATAAATGACAAGCAAAGGCAAGTGTTAGGGATCTACCTAGAGAGGCACTCCTGCACCTACAAACTACATACAGTATCTATGTGCATGAAACACCTGTTTGTTTCTCTTACCTTCCTGCACACTTAATCCTACTGCAGTCATTCATAATTGTATTTGTTCGGCTCATTAAAGAGATGATGGCTCTGATGTTTGGTTCAGGTGCTATTTATGGTTTTTGAAATATTAACATTCATTTAGATTTTAAACTCAGTTAAAAAGGAATGTGGATTTTTCAGCAGCATGTTTTGTCCAATATTGTCTGCTTTGATGATTTAATATTAGAAGTTCTACAGGTTGACAGCCTTCGAAGGTCAAGTGGTCACAAAATGAAAGTTTATTCCTTTTACAACCTTCAGAATATAGAAGTAGTATAACAGGGATAGCCAATTCCGGTCCTCGAGGTCCTCAGCCCTGCACGTTTTACTTGTTTCTCTTCTCTGACACACCTGATTTGAATGAATGGATGATTTTCAGGCTTCTGCAGAACTTGGAAGAGGTAATTRACTGACTGAATAACATAAGGATCTCTACTACTAGAAATTCTATAGTATTGTACAAAGTAAATGCTGTTGAGTCCTAGACAAGACCAACACCATCAAAGAGTGGTCTTCAGACCGATCTTAAAGGAGACCAATTATGGGTCCTAGAAATTTTTATGTTATGTCTTTGGGCTGTCCAGACCATGTTCGTTCAATTTAATGCACAAAATAATTCTCAGATAATAAAATTTCACATTTTCTAGTTCTGCCTGCTCTGACTTCCATTCAGAAGAGCTGTTTATGTTAATGAGCTCTGTTGGTAACGCCCTCCAAAAATCTGTTGACATTAACTCCGCCCTRCAAAGTCAGCGTTAGCATGGCTAATAATAGCAGAAGCTCCGTTGTACAACCGTATATGAGACGCTGAGTCAGAGCCAGAGGCAGAGTCATGGTCGCAGCTTTTTTTTTCCTCCCCCTCCTCTGCTCTGCGCTCACTCTGCATGCTGTTACCAGAGCAGGGAGCAGCAGTGGTCAAAATACCTCAGAAACTCAAACAAACAGGCTTTAACAAGGCTTTAATAAGCTAAACAATAGAGGTACATGAGAAAATGTGTTCATAACGAATGAAAATAAATAGTTAAATTGTGTCCATGCCAGTCTCGAACGCTGGTCTCCCACTCTTTGGTCCAACGCTCTACCCATTGCCCTATTGGAGACTTATTGTGAAATGAGCTGCGCATTGCACAACAACAACCGTGACGGCTTTTTATACTGAGGAGGTGAAGTCTCACCCGTGGGTTACTAGGTGAGGGGAGAAGGGGTTATCTGCGGAATCAAAGTGGGCATGTCACAAGAGTGGGTGTGTCAAAAGTATAAATACTGTGGGCTACGAGGCCTACATGACGGTATCCTTAGATCCTGCTTGGTCTCTATACAGCCTGACCCTGACCCCAACACTAAGGTTGACCAGGAGAAGTGTGACCCAAGTAGGGTTCTCCAGAAAAAGTGGTGCTGTACAGTAACGCCCCTTTTGTTCTTGTCCAATGAGGTGGGGCCGTACGGTATCGCCCCTTTTTTTGCTTGTCCAGTTAGGTGTGTCCCTTTAACAAAGTCCGTCAAATCAGGTGTGTCCCTTTAACAAAGTCCGTCAAATCAGGTGTGTCCCTTTAACAAAGTCCGTCAAATCAGGTGTGTCGCTTTAGAATCACCTTTTCTTGTGACACGTCCACTCGTCCGCACTCGTCCACAGAGACCACTACTTGGGTGAGGGGCTGAACGCAGGTTCCGGTGGGTTGTCGTACGGCTTGTGACATCACAAAATGTAGGAAGTATAAAACATAATATAATATACATTAAAAATACATTTACTTACAGTAAATATGCTCCTGGGTGTATTTTTTGGTCCTATGACTGTTTTTTAAGAAGTACATACCCAACGTTGAGCAAAAAAACCTTTAAAAAGTGAATTTTGCCTAATAGGTCCTCTTTAAGACCGACCAAGACTAGTCTCAAGTACTACAAGACTAATGGAGGGGTACATAAAAAGGTCTGAGGTTGGGGGGGTGTGTGGGGCAGATTTGGGGCAGGGGTTATCAGAAGTTTGGGGCAGTGAGCATCAGAGGTGGGGGGTGTCAGAGGTCTGGGGAGAGAGGTGTTAGAGGTCTGGGGAGGYGGGTGTCAGAGATCCAGAGCATGCTGTCAGATGGAAATTTAGTGTAAAACCGTATCTGATCATCTGAAGCACAGTAGCAAATGAAGAGAGATGGTGARGTCACTTTCACCAGCTTGGCCTCYAGATCCTTTATGTAATCAAGGGCATCATCAAGTACACCTATAGAGAAGAGCAATGTATGTACTGTTAATTATAGCTATAATCATGTAGTTTGCAAAATTCAATAACATCAGTATTTGGCTAATGTAAATATTATACTAAGTTTAATTACTTTCCCTACAATTTACATAAGCCTATGAAACTGTTACATTTAAAATAATATCCATGCATTATATGATACTATTATTATATTAATCATACAAGCAAACAAACAAAAAAAAACTGTCAGTGTGTGGACCACGTAATCATGGTCCATGTTAGCCACTTTAGCATTAGCCACATTAGCACCTCAGAAGAGACAAGTTGTCTTTTATTTGCCCACTCTAGTGCAGACTCCCTCTTGGCTGGTGCAGTGAAATTATTCCAGGGGGGAAAACTTGGGACAACTCCCCTTTTTAGACGGCTGATGGCAGATTCAGTAACACAATCTTCAGCACTGAAGTGCCTGGTACATACATAGATAAGTGCTTCCCTTCTTTATGCTTAAGTTTGGACCCTTGTCTCTCCTAATCACCTGTATCTATAGCCTCCTCTGGTCTGGATTTGTTGGGAACAAATGGAAAGAAAGGCAAAGCACAAAAGCTTTTGTTTTTTGTGTCTGAGGCATATTTACCGACTAATGCTAATGCAACCGGAAGTAGCGATGTGCTACTTCCGGTTTAAAATACAGAAGTGTGAAAAAGGTCTATAAAAGTAACATTCACTGACTTCCACAATGTTTTCTCTTCATTTCTTTGTGTTTCTGAAAGCCAACAAGTTGCACTTTGTAATGACCTTATTATTGTTTCATGTTTTTGATCTGAGTTTGTTTTACAGAATGAAATGTCTAAATGAGTGCTCATCCAAGACTGGTGATTCCATACTTTTTGCCAGGGGTTGTAGCACTTTCAATGCATTGTGACCAACGTTCACACTTTGTCAGCTGCTGACAACTGTCTGCAATAGGTGACAGCGCCGTCCCTTGAATTCATCACTGACTGTCTTCATCAGTCCAGCCACAATTTGCTGGACTCTGCAATTTTGGCTCCAGATTGGTTGCTTGAGTCCAACTTCCAGTTTCTGTCCGTGAGGCTGACACTCTGTCTACTTTTAAGATTAGACTGAAGACTTTCATTTTAGATAAATCATATAATTAGACTTGGGTTTCTTCAATTATTCCTCATTTCTGCTGCTATAGACTTGCTGGAGCACAAACTGAGCACATTTCCTCACTCTGCTATTGTCTTTCATTTCTTTTCTCTATATGTTTATTATAATTATTTCTATCAATAGCATGTGTTTTGTTTTTGTCTCTTTTCCAGAAATAGGTGCACCAGGACCAGTTCTTCTGTGTTTTGTCTGTGTCTCTTTCCTCTTCCCCAACCCAGGCGGTCAAGGTAGATGGACCCTTGTCCTGAGCCTGGTTCTGCTGGAGGTTTCTTCCTGATTAGCAGGGAGTTTTTCCTCTCCACCATTTGCTCAGGATGGGAGACTGTGATGAAGTGATTACACAATCTGCTGGCTTCTTCTTTAGGTTGTTCTTTTTTCGTGTACAGTGCCCTGAGATGAGATGTATGTTGTGACTTGGCGCTATATAAATAAACTGAATTGAACTGAACTGAGTCCAAATACAACCAGCTTGACAGGTTAGATCAGGAGTCTGCAACCTGTGGCTCTGAGGCCACATGTGGCTCTTTGGTCCCTCTGCAGTGGCTCTTTGAAAATGTGACCAAACAGAACAGAATTTTTTTATTTGTTTTTATACCCACAACAGAAATCAATTTGTGTGCAAATATGTGATCAATGCTATTACAAAAATTAAAACATGTTAGCTCATGCTAGCCTGTTGTTTACTTAAATATTCCAATTTCTCTCTAGGATCTTTCTATCCAATCCATCAGCAATACCCCTAATTTACACTACTTGCGTTCCGTCTCCGCTCCGCTCTGGTCCMACCTCAGCAGCAAATACGKACCCATTATAATCAATGAGAGTGTTTACACTGGCTGCGCACGGCSGCGGTGAGCGGATGGCGATCCGTCAAAATTAGAACAGATCCTATTTTTGCCGGACGCCGGAGCTGCACCGGGGTCAATTTTTAAAGATTACGTCGCACCGACAGGAAAAGAAACGAGCACAACATCCGTATTTTCAAAATAAGACACTTTTAGGCTGGATAATTTGTCGGAATAATGCCGAAATTGCAGCTATATTAATAAATATACGGATATATTTCTACACAAATGCTGTCAGAATGTATCATTCTGTTTGGGAAGCAGATAGAAACGTAGCATGAAGCATATGTGTACATACACGATACACGTGGATTTTATTTTGAAATCAGAAGTTTCGGAAAGCCGACAGCGAGACAGTTTCAACATAGATACCAAAAGCCCTTATATCCTTGTTTTCAGCTGTGTTTGGTGTTCGTCTTTCACAGAATTAATTATTTTTTGCTGTGACTTCCACACTTATCACTGAATTTATTGCGCAGTCTCCTTCCTGCGTGTCTGTCGGACRGGAGCGGAGCGGAGGTAGTGTAAACTGGACTTGAAACGCACAGCTGCGCCTGCGCACCGCAGCGGAGCGGAGCCTTAACGCATGTAATGTAAATTAGGGGTTACCTTTTACTAATTTGAAGACTACATAATTCTAAGAATTAGAAAAAAAAGATGCCTGAATAATTCAGTTGTACTAGTTTTTATGAAATTCGGTATAAATTATACATTATTTTTCTTGTTTACATGAATATGGCCTTTATGATTGTCCTGATGTGTATAATAATGTAATAATAATAATATTTTTTAAGTTTTATAACGTCACTTCCACTGACTGTAAAGGTTCCTGAAAAGGCCTCAAAAAGGCCCACGGACCACCAGTTGATAATCACAGTTGTAGCTTGTTTTACAGCTCTGGACACATTTTATTAGTGAGAAAAGCAGCACAAATGGCTCTTTTGATTGTAAAGGTTGCAGACCCCTGGGTTAGACGCTTAACATACTGTACCAGAGCTTCCTGAGTCGGGGTCGGGGGATACTTTCATATGGCCTCTGTTACAAACAAACATGTCAAGTCTGGCATCATCAATGCTGTCAGTATTACTGGACCTGTTTATACATCAAGACTGTATTTCTCCAAAACCTTCACCTCATTTTGGCTCATAGTCAGAGGATACTGACTGAGATTCTGGAGACCTCTAGTTTCTAGTTTTAACTGCTGTTTTGAGTTGGTTTTGAGCACATTTCAAATCTCTGGTTGTCCCTGTCACTCTTTTGTTTGCAGTATCTCTCCATCTAATTTTCCATCATCCTGTTCTTTCTGTCGTTTGTTGCCTGTTGACATATTTTACTCTCTTTTTGCTGCAGTTTAAGCAGCCCTCCACTAATGGAAAGAGCCATCCCTGACTTCAGCAGCTGTAACTCAGTAGATGAATGGTTGGACACTATAAAGATGGGCCGCTACAAGGAACACTTTGCAGCAGGGGGATACCACACTCTAGGACACGTCATCAGCATTAAGCAAGGGTAAGTGCTGACTGTCCTGGAGCATGAGAACAGGTCAAAGGGGCTGAGGAGAACTCAGTCAAGTTTACTGATCAGTGAATTTAAATAAAACTAAATTTTAATGTGTAAATTTGTTTACATTCACATTGCACCCGGGGCAATGTGCATGTAAACTAACATGCATTGGCAGTGGTCGACAGTGAGGACCTTGGCGGTCTGATCCTAAGCTACAGCTACACATTCTCACTCCCAACTCGTCACATATTGACGTTTAAGGTAAGGTTCCCTCTGCGTCTTATTTTGACGCATCAGGTGACCCCCTCGCGTCACTCCTTGACGCCCACGGCTTTTCCGGGTTGCGCCACCAGGGGGCTTTGGGGCGGGTGTCTGAGGTTAACATGAGGGATCGGGTTTAATGGTTAAGTTTAGGTACTGGGATCAGGGGTACGATGTCCATGGTGAATATTAGGTCATTTTACGCTTTAGAACATGTTCACCTGAATTTCGTACATTTTCTAAAAATGGTTAATTTTACCTACTAGGGTCAGGGACAGGATGTCTAAAGTGAACTAAGGTAATTTCAGGCTTTGGAACGGTCGTTTTTGCGCATTTTATACACTTTCTGAACATATGACAACAGCTTCCGCCCCATCTCGTCAGTAACTGACGTGAGGGGGGTACCCCGCGCGTCAAAATCGGACGTAGAGGGAACCTTGGAAAACGTCAATATGTGACGAGTTGGGAGTGAGGTTGGCTACAGAAGCTGGCTCTAGGGACGTGGAATGTCACCTCTCTGGTGAGGAAGGAGCCTGAGCTGGTGTGTGAGGTTGAGAGGTTCCGACTAGATAGACGCACCTATCTGACTTTGGAACCAGTCTGCTCGAACAGGATTGGACACTCTTTCACTCTGGAGTTMCCCCTGCTGAGAGGCGCCGAGCAGGAGTGGGCATACTTGTTGCACCCATCTTGCTCCTGCACGTTGGGGTTCACCCAAGTGAACGAAAGGGTAGCCTCCCTCAGCCTACGTGTGTGGGGGGATGGGTTCTGACTGTTGTTTGTGCTTACGCCTAAGAGCAGTTCAGATTACCCACCGTTTTTGGAGTCCTTGGTGGGGGTGCTGGAGAATGCTCCTAATGGGGCTCTAATTGGGACTACCTTGTTCTGCTGGGGGATTTCAATGCTCATGTGAGCAATGACAGTGAGACCTGGAGGGGTGTGGTTGACATGAACTGGTTGGTAGGTAGAATACTGCGAAGACCTCTTCAACTCCACCAGCACCTGGTTGCTAAAAGTAATAACAATACAGTTGCTTATCTGTTAAACAGCAGAATGGTTGCTGAAAATAGCTAAATGAAAGCAAATAGCTAAAAGTGACTAAAAAGACGCTAAAAGCTATAAAACTGTAGCTAAAAGAAACATAAAGAGACAAAAATAGACCAAAGTGCTTAAGCAGAATTTTAAAAGAATGATATATTTGAATGTATTGAAGTAATTACTTGAAGATGTTTTTTTCAGCAGGAAAATTAATGTTACTTAAATATTTTGAAAAGCAAATGTTACAAAACCAAACAACCCATCTTCTGACTGAGCTAAAGATTTGAATTATCCATCCAATGTCTTTTACCTGCTTCTTCCTTTCAGGGTCACTGTTTATTTATGAACAGCTACAATAGAAAACATGTACACTTTGATGAGATTAAAACTGAATCAGGAAAACAAAATGTTGACTCAGCATTCACGTTAATGTTCTGAATGAAAGCTTTTACTAAAACACTTCACCCAATGTCTCTGTGTTTTAGGGACATTCAAAGGTTGGGAGTGACTCTGATGGGCCACCAGAAGAAGATCCTGACCAGCGTCCAGCTGATGAGGGCTCAGGTCTTCAACAAAAGTGTTCCATCAGTGCATGTATAACTACAGATCTGGAGCTTCTTCCTGCTCACATTTTTAAACTAGGCTTCTATAAACTGAAGACGGACTCTGAGGTCAAGAGGACACACTTGGGAACTTTACAAGATTTTTACTTGAGAAAATGAACAAAATGTTGACTGTTTAGCTGCAGAGTTAAACAGGACTTATTTGACTTATCCCCACTCGATGGTTTGTTTTGTTTATGAATGAAAAGACTGCCTTAAACACCTCAAATTATTGAACTTTTATTGTTTACAAAGAGAAGGTAGTTTATCATGAATACATCGGCGAGAGCAGGAGGAAAGATGTAGCAACTGTTTTTATTATTGCTTGTTTTGTTCTGATGAGGCTGCAGAAACTGAGGTCCAGAATGTAACAAAAGTCAGGTTTTGTCTGAGAGTCTCCAAACATGAATACTTCCTTTACTCCTGATAACACACAACTACTGCACCTGACCTGTACCATGTGTGGAAGACATTTACTGCAAACTTTTTTTCTACAATTAGTGTTTATGTTCTACAGCTTTGACATTCATTTACTCCCAACCATATCAGGGGCCTCATGTCTAAACGGTGCGTACAAATAAAAAAGTTGTGTAGCCAGGTTCCACGCACACATCAGGATGTATCAGAACTAACGTTACATAAAGTGTGTGTAAATACACACACACTTTCACCTGCACTGAGAATGGCCATGCAAAGTATTTCAGTCAACAGTTATAACCCACAAAAACCTGAATACACAGAAACAGACTCTGTTCTGTTTTCTGGATTTTTTTTTTATTTTAGTTTGAGCTTTTCTAGTTTAAACCTGAATGATGAAACAGAACCATGTTTAACTTCAGACAAGAAAACAGAGCAGTCTAAAAATGATCCAAACAACCTCAGTCTACTGAGAACAGCTCACCTGTGATGATTCCTCAGGTCCACCAGATGCAGACAACATTTGTTCATAAATAGCTGCATAAAGTTGAGTGTAGTTTTTGGAGCATTGGGCCTCATGCAAGAACATGTTCGTATTCTTATCCTAAATTTCTCTTACTTTTGTTCGTACGAAGGGTTTGTACGAACATGTCACGTCAGATTCAACAAACTCATCTATCTTCAGGAAAAGTGTGTAAATGAGCTGCGTAAACATGATGAATTGCACCTGTTCGTATCCAGCTGCTTGTGCACGTGGAGAGATTAGCGTAATTACCACCCCAAAAACACCTTATGAGGCTGTGTTTCCTGCCTCAGATATCAGGAAGTGTCCATTCATGAAAATGACAGCGAAAAGTAAAAAAGAAGAACTTTACGAGTTCGGAGATTGAAGTCCTGCTCTCCGAGATTGAGAAACGAAAATTTGTCCTTTTTAGCAGCGTCAGACCTGCTAAAGCCGCGGAATGAAATGATGACTGCAGTTAATGTGGTGTCTCCCGTGGGACACATACAGACACAGAAATAAAAATCTAAATCATATTCATCTTTCTCTAGTCCTGCTCCAGTTTTTATTTGGTCAAGTATTTATTTATTATATTTTATTTAGTGTAAACAACTGTGTTACATAGTTTTCATTCATTCAGAAGAAGAGCAGTCGCACACCGCTACCCCCTCCACCACCACCACCACCCCGGCCTGCCCCCCCCACCCTCCTGACAGTCGCAAGTTTCAGAAGCATTTTAAAATGTCTTCACCTTCATTTCATGCATAATTTAAGTTGGTTTTTAGTGTGAGATCTTCATATTGACATTGTAGTGTTACACAACAGCATTAAAAGCCAATTTAATTTAATCTAACCAATTTATGTCGTTAGTTAGATTTAAAATTATAATTCCAATTCAAACAGAATAACCTATTGTCAAAATAATTATGGCATGTGATTTATTTTCAACTCAAAATATTTTCTAAATAACAAAATATATAGTGAAGAAAATCTGTCTGGATAACAGCAGACTGACTGCTGGTAAAATATACGACAGGTCTGGACCGCTCGTGAATTTGTTCGTATCTGAAAAAAATCTTAGAATACGAAAACATTGGTGAATGCCACAAATTCTCCTAAATCACTCGTACGTATAACTTAAGATCAAATCTGTGCATACAAATGGTTCTTGCATGAGGCCCACTGTCAGAAACACACATGCGCATGATTTGATACACCTGAATATTTCTGTGCGTACACACTTTAGATGTTCAGTAGTTTGAATGAGAAACAATGAAGCTTGTCTACAAAACTATTATTGTGCAGAATGACTTTGTAAACACTCTGTCCAGAAACACATGCTGTTCTGAATTCTTCTCCTCTAAACCCTAAAGTTCAACTTTATACATTGGAGCCATGGTCCCAACATCCCCCCTGTCCAAACCCCCCATCACTGCTCACATTTATACTACTAAGTAGTAAGCCCTAAATGTTACGATATAAAACTACCAAAATTAACTTGTCATCCAAAGATCCAATCAATTATTATTTTAATAATATTAATATCCAGAGAGGTTAGTTTTACTGCTAAAATACAATTTGATACTAAAAACTGAACTGTTTTAATATAACTGAATTATTAAAATCAACTAAATCAACTAAATGAAATGAAAAGATAAAATCTGAAAACATGAATAAAAGTTTAAGTTAGCAAAACCATAGCTTAAAGGTAAAATTTGAAAAAAACTGTAGCTAAAAGCTTACAGATCAAAACAGCTACAAAAAAACCCTAGTAAAACTGTAGCAAGAAACTGAAAACTGCAAAAGCACCAGTTCAACTGGCAAAACTGTAGCTTAAAGGTAAACGATGTAAAAGCATAGATGAAAGGTAAAATAAGCAAAACATCACCTACATGCTAAATAAGCTAAACTGTAGCAATTAGGTAAAATGTGCAAACCCTTAGCTAAAAGCTAAAATTAGRATAAATGTGAAGCATGAGGAAATCAAAAAACTAAAGCAAAATGTCTGAAGTAGATTTCACAAATCTGTTTGAAGTAATTGAAAATATCATTCTGTGTTTCTATGTTGATTTGTTTGTAAATAAAATGAAATATTCTGAGTCTAAAAGTTACAAAAATTAGAGCATTATGTTTCATGATAAAACTGACCATTTTGATATATACTGTATTTAAAATGGAATAAATGATGTAAAATATTTTTGAGTCCTGAAACCCTAATCAGGAAAAGACTAATGTGAATGAAGTCATCATTAATACAACAATAAAAACACAAGAAAAAAAAAACTAAACTGTCCTGTTACTGAAAGAGAAACAACAGGTAACCTTCTGATGTTTATTTAAAACACTGTGAAACTGAAAAATAGAAACAGAAATGCACATTTACCATTTGAAATTACTCTGGCTTAGTTTACATAAACAAACAATAATTTATTTATTTTTAAGCCCGATAAAGTGTTCACAAAAATATGTCAAAAAACTTCAAATAATTATAGATGAGCATAGATGCTAATTCAACATTGAAAGCTTCATAGAAAAGTTAATGAGATTAGCATTATGTTTTTCATTGGAAACACACACAAAATTCTATCTATACTGTATAGCGCCAATTAACAACTGCAAAAATATTCAGTCTCCCATTCTGAGCAGAACATTTGTGACAGTGGAAAGGTAAAACTCCTTTTTAACAGGAAGAAACCTCCAGGAGAACCAGAACCAGGCTCAGGATGGGCAGCTTCAACCGAGGAGGACAGGAAAGAGATACAACACACAATGCTTAGTCCAAATGTAAAGGGGGGAAATAATTACAAACAAAAAGCATGTTAAGGATTGCAATAACTACAAATATAAACAGATCATAAATTGACTAAAGAAAGCAGCAGAGAGGAAATGTGGTCAGTTTGTCCTCTATTCATCTAAACATGTAGCAGTAATAAAGAAACCAGCTCTAACTATAGTATTTATCAAAAAGGAAAGTCTTCAGTCTAGCCTTAAAATTAGTGTCAGTCTCATGGACAGAAACTGGAAGTTGGTTCCACAAGAGAGGAGCTTGATAACTGAAAGCTCTGCCTCCCATTCTACTTTTAGAAACTCGAGGAGGAGCCACAAGTAAACCTGCAGTCTGAGAGCCAAGTGCTGTGTTAGGAAAATATGGGACTAGTCAAATATTTCAGTCATTACTAAGGACAGTCATGTTATGATAACTTTAGCCATTACTGACAGACTTGTTCAGGTCTCAGATAGGGCTGGGCGATATGGCTGAAAAACGTACCACAATAGAAGTGTTTCATATTGGTCTATATCAAAAAGGATTGATTAGTTTGCTGTTTTACCTATTTGAAATAAGGACCAGGAGAAAAAAACGCTGATGGTGACGTGACCTGTTCTCCTCTTTCCACAACMTCCTCTCCGGTTGTTGCACTCGTTTTCTCCTTTCACTCCAAGTCAGTCTTTTATTTTTAAGCATGCAGGATGCTATGATAGCTCTACCAGGACCACACAGCAACACATGTAAGTGTTTTGTCTAAAAATAGCCCTCATATGGTAGAAAACACACACACACACACACACACACACACACACACACACACA